GAGAGAGAGAGAGAGGAGAGATAGATAGATAGATAGAGGAGAGAGAGAGAGAGAGAGAGAGAGAATGATGGAGGGAGGGAGGGGGGAGGGAAGGAGGCAAAGGGAGAGGGAGAGAGATGAGGGAGGGAGGTTGGAGGGAGGGGGAGGGGAGGGGGAGAGGCAGAGGGAGGAGTAAGAGAGGGAGGGAGGGAGGGAGGGAGGGAGGGTGGGAGAAGGAGAGGTAGATAGAGATGAGGGAAGGAGGGAGGGAGAGGGAAAGAGGGAGAGGGAGAGGGAAAGAGAGATGAGGGAAGGAGGGAGGGAGAGGGAAAGAGGGAGAGGGAGAGGGAAAGAGAGATGAGGGAGGGAGGAAGGAAGGGAGGGAGGGAGGAAGGGAGAGGGAGGAGAGAGAGAGAGAGAGAGAGAGAGAGAGAGAGAGAGAGAGAGAGAGAGAGAGAGAGAGAGAGAGAGAGAGAGAGAGAGAAAGAAGAAAGAGTGAGAGAGCCAACACGCATATACATTCTCTTACAAACTTTCCTAGACTGAGATGATTTGCAAGCACTTCGGAAAGCAGAAAAAGGAAAACACAGACGTAAGTAAATAATATAGCTTATTACTGTTGTGAATAGTTAAAGAAATGGAATACAATCTTAAGCACAAAGGTTGGCTGATACAGGAATACTGAGTGGTTCCAAATTGCAAGCAAGTACGCCACGCTAAATAACTGAAAAAAACGTCAATGATTAAGCGAATGAAAGCCAAATTAGATAAGAGAAGTTATGTTGAAAAAAGATAAATGAATGAAACTTCCTGTGGTTAAAATAACAATAATGATATTAGAGAGAATTACATATACGTATACACATACACATACACGCAAACACTCTCTCACACAAAAAAACTGAAATGTTATAAAAAGATAGATTAATGAAACTTGCCGTACTTCAGAAAAATTGACCTTATAATAATGAAACGAATTACACCACTCCTAAACGCAACGATACAGTGCCAAAATAAAACGAAAAAAGCACTGATAAATAAATATAAAAAATATATTTATGCCAGTGAGAGAAATCAGAGCTACTCCTCAAACCAACGACGGAGGGCCAGAGGACGTGAGCAAATCTCGTGACCCCGGCGGAGGAGAGTGACCGCTGGAGGACCTGTCAGCCTGTGCCGTGGGGAGGCGCGACGACCCTCACACTGACCAGCAGAAGCAACAGTACGAGCAACCCGGGCAGCAGCTGACGAAAGATGAGGTTTAAAAAGAAAAAAAAGAGGTCACGAAATCTCTCATTTGCAATAAAGACAAAATGAAAAGAAAGGACATTGTAACAATGCGCACTCGAGGGATACAGCCACTCGGCAAATGACTCCTTCAAATGGGCATTTATTTGCGTCGTAATGCATCCCCTTACAACAATTTCCCCTCGACGCCACGCAATCCTGCTCACTGCGGGTCTCTTCCATCGCGCAGGTATATAAAGATCCCGTCGTCAGGTCCCTGGCAGAGTCGCCTTCCCTCGCCCAGCCAACACGCTGCCTGGCTTCCCTCCTGACGATCACTCCGGCGGCTTCCAGGTAAGGCGCCCGGACGCGTTCGGATCGCTGCTCGAGCCGCTGTCTCACTCGGGAATCGAAGTCTGGATAGCACAATAACTACTTCTGGTTTGTATATATATACCATACATATAAATATGTATATATATATATATATATATATATATATATATATATATATATATATATATATATGTATGTATGTATTTATACACACACATGGATATATATATGTGTGTGTGTGGTTGAGAGAGTGTTTGTGTGTGTATACGTGTGTGTATGAGTATATGTATATGTATATGTATATATACATAGATACACACACATATACATATATGCACATATACACACGCACACACACATATGTATGTATGTCTGTATGTGTATGTACATATATACATATATGTTATATACATATAAATTAATATATGTATATACATACATATACATATATATATATATATATATATATATATATATATATATATATATATATATATATATACGTGAGTGTGTGTATATGTATAAACATGCATGCACATACACACAACCCTCTCTCTCTCTCTCTCTCTCTCTCTCTCTCTCTCTCTCTCTCTCTCTCTCTCTCTCTCTCTCTCTCTCTCTCTCTCTCTCCCTCCCTCCCTCCCTCTCTCTCTCTCTCTCTCTCTGTCTCTCTCTCTCTCTCTCTCTCATTCACAAAAAAAACACTCACAATTTCTTCATATTTTGAGAACTACCTCACTTGCTCACTTGTTAGAATGGTAATTTACACTGTGTTAGAGGAGTGAAAAAAGAGTTCACGGTTTGAAACACAGACGTTTACCTTATTCTATTGGGTTTTAGAAATCACCCCCCCCTTCCCCCTTCTCCCGTCCTTTGAAACGAATGGCATTAAGTCCATCGCTTTTATTTGATGGTTGTGCCATTATTAAAGGGGTGTCATTTTAGCATGAAAAGAAATTCAGTGTTAATAAGTGTTAACTTCCATTTGCTTCGCATGTTATGGGATTTATTTTATTTTATTCGTGTTTTTAAAATCTTTTTCATGAGTTTTATTTTATTTATTTGTTAATATACTTTTTAATGGATTTCGTTTCATTTTTTTCTCTTTTCTCATGTATTTTATATTTTTTCGTTTTTTTTTTTTTTTTCTTTTTTTTCTTCGTCAGTTTCAAGTTTATAAAGGTTTTAGGTCACTTTTTCCTCGTCCTTTCTTCATGCCAACGGATGCGAATTCCACGCTTATATACTCTATGAATATGGACTATGTTATAAGCTTGGAAACCTTGGTACTTGGTACTACGGAACACACACACGCACACACACACACACACACACACACACACACACACACACACACACACACACACACACACACACACACACACACACACACACACGCACACACAAACATACACCCCCGTGCGCACACAGAAACACAGACACTTCTTGATGAACCGCGGTTGATTAGGAAGGGTTATCCAATCAGGTAAGGGTGACGCTGCCAAATGACCTCTCAATAATGAATTAGGAGAGATCTAGATCCTGCAGCAGATGAAATGGCTGTTGAACAAACAAACATATATATAAATATATATACATAAATATTATATATATATACATATATATTTGTATATATATATATATATATATATATATATATATATATATATATATATATATATATATATATGTATATATATGTGTGTGTGTGTGTATGTGTGTGTGTGTGTGTGTGTGTGTGTGTGTGTGTGTGTGTGTGTGTATGTGTGTGTGTGTGTGTGTGTGTGTGTGTGTGTGTGTGTTTTTGTTTGTTTGTTCAACAGCCAATTATTCCAATGTAAGGTCTAAGCCCCTCCCAGTTTATCATTAATAGGTCATTTGGCAGTACCACCCTTACCTGATTTGTTGCCCTTCCTAATCAACCGCGGTTCGGCGCGCTGAAGCTTTTGCCACGGCGGTGACTTCCCCTACGACACCTGCGTTTTCTTGCTGTGAGATCAGGCTCGAGCCAGCAGTCGGAGCGCAGGCATTTTTAAAACTATTGTGGCGCTACCACGAGGGTCAGTGTCCAATGCTCTATCCACTGGACCATTCCGGCAGTTATATCTATCTATCTATCTATCTATCTATGTATCTATATATATATATACAGACACACACACACATTTGATTTGAAATGAACTACTACGTTCACATCCCTCCTCATTTCCCTCGTCAGATATGCAGATCAGCACGGTTGTGGCGATGGCGCTCCTGGTCGGCTCGGGAACGGCCTGCTTCATCACCAACTGCCCCCCAGGTGGCAAGCGGTCCTCTCCTTCGGCACAGCTGGGTAGTGTTCGCACGGTAAGAAGGCGCAGGAACTCTCAGCCTCAAAGTCCCAAACTGGTGTCGTTAGAGGGTTGGGTCTGTAATCGTTTTTTTTTTTTTAATGTGAATTTATATGCTGTTGTATTGCGGATTTGTGGGGATGCCAAGGCTTAGAATCCTTGTTTCTATTTTCGTAATTTCTGTTAAATGATTTTAGATATATCAGTCATCTTTTTTATAACTTTGACTTCTGTCTGCAAGGAAGGTATATATCGTATGGACTTGTGATATAAAAAGAGCATGCAAATGTTGTTGATCAGTTATATTGGCAACAATTTCGAACAAGATATCATATTTTTTTAAACAAAAAAACACGTACTCTCTGCCCTTCGCAGAACCCGCAACCTAATGAAAAAGAGCAATATAAATCCCTCTTTCTCCTCCATCGCCGCCCTCTGCAGTGCGCACAGTGCGGCCCGGGACTGCAAGGCCGCTGCATGGGCCCCGACATCTGCTGCGGACCTGAAATCGGCTGCTACATGGGGACCCGCGAGGCCTTCCTGTGCCGCAGCGAAAACCTGGTACCTGTGACCTGTAGGAACGACGACCTGAAGGCATGCGGGCGGCAGCGTGAAGGGCGCTGTGCCTCCTCCGGCGTGTGCTGCACCGAAGGTAACTTTTCCTGTCGTAGGTTCTCTTGGAAGTTTATTTTGGTCATTACCTCTTCAGCGTGCATGATCATTTGATTAGTTATTAGGCTTTAGAACATCACCGTTGCCGTCATTTTATGCCTCTAGAAATCGTAAGCATTTAAGTAAACGAAAACGCCCTCGTTATACCTTCCTTCCTTTTCCAGTGAAATGTGAATTCGACATGAACTGCGTGATCGAGGGCGTGGACAGACACCGGTACTCCCTGCTAGACACTCTAACCGACGCCCAGTGGATCTGATCTGGCCTCTTTGACCTCAGCTTATCAGGTCAACCCAGGCTACCCACGTCAGAGTGCCGGAAAGCGTGAAATCTCCTTATAGTGTTTGTTCGTACGTGTCATTGACAATTATCATTTATTTCATTTCTTTTCCAACTCGGTCCTTACAGCACACACTGTTATAAAAATCCACCTGCCACGAGAAGATGGTCAATAAAGCATACCATGTTGTCCTCCCTTAGGTGTACATGTCAACGACGAAGCTCAGAAACATGACTCATTAGTGTTAGATTCTAAGGTTGTTCAGCGTGTTAGAAATAGAACTCCGTGCAGGGGTGTGGGGAGGGAAGCTCCTCTGCTCTCCCGTGATGCTGGCTGGATGCCCCTCCTCCGTCGTGCTCTCTCTCTCGGGGAACTCATCTCGGCGTCAGATATTCGTGTTTACATGGTTGAATAAATGAAACTATCTTGCTATCGTGGTCAGTTATTTCGCCTTGTATCCCCCTCCCCCCAGGCATCGTTATGTATGGCTGCGGCAATGTGATGATCTGAGATATTTATTTTTGTTTGGTTTTCTTTCATTCGTATTTTGCGTTGGTAAAGTGAACAGCAACTGTATATAATCTTACTTATTGAAGTAAGGCTGAATTATGTAAATCATCCTCGATGTCTCAATTTGCAGACATTCAGAAAGAAAAAAAGAAAAAAAAACAGTCGTGCTGAGCTTATCTGAGATGATATTCTGATTCGTATACATATATATATATATATTGTTTTTTGTTTCTTTTCTTGTTTTTTTTTTTCTTTTCTTTTCTTTTATTCGCGGACTCACGACACCTCTCAGGCGTTTCATGGATTTAAAGCAAATATTGTGATCTGGAAACGTGTTGCCAGACACAGACTACATATGCTCCCATTCTTCTGTGATTTCTATAATTCATATATCAAATCCTTCTATTTATGTTTCACTCTGGTGCAACTATCACATCCTTGGCTTCTTAGTCCACTGCTGAATCATCAAAATTTTTGACATCATGCTAAGAAGATTTCACTCCAAACATGCTCTTTTGCATCCCAGTCACTTCCACAGTCATTTCGATCTGTAATAATCTCAGTCGATTCTGTGTCAGACATGATAGCAGCATCGGTCAATCGCCTACTGTGACGTCATCCAGTCTTTTTCTGAGGATTTATAATTGATTTTGTGTCCAGGTGCACTGCATAGACCGACTTACACCAAAAAGTACTTACCAGATTGAACTGATACATTGATGAGAACTATTAAATGATATGAAAGAATATGTTTTGTTAAAATGGAAAGGAACTAGCCATTAATTTCAAACACTGAAAGTCAACATCCATTTACGATATAATATAGGATCATGGTCGATACTAAAAAAAAAAAACTCAGTTGAACATCACCACTGTTCAATATATATAGAACTTCTTTTAAGGCCACATTTAAGAAACAAGGACATGGAACTTGACATGAGGATCAGTGACAATGAGAGGAGTGACATGCTTAAGACGATTTTGTGGCAAACAGATGCTTTACACAATAAATATTCACTGGTAACTCTGTAAATGAAGACGTGCGGTCCATATGAAAGACAATGCATTTCTTAGTGTTTAGCATTAGCCTTCGTAATGGTGTTTCATAGACAAAATAGCTAAAAGGAAAGAGAGAGAGAAAAAAAAAAACGTTTGTTAGATTCACTACGTTAGTCATCTTTAAAACGCATTATCTATAAATATCATAGACTTTCTTTAGTTCTATAGCATTATCCTGATTAGATACTCGATAGATGCACAGTAACAGTATTCCTAAAAGAACGAGACAAGGTCGGTGCCTGATATGTCATGTGTTAAATACTTTACTGTTAGGAATCGTGTATTGAATATGCTAGTAGACTATAAAGGAAAACAGTATTGTTAAACCTGAGTCTAACAGTCGAAGGGAGTATATATATATATATATATATATATATATATATATATATATATATATATATATATATATATATATATATAATATATATATATATATATTTATATATATATATATATATATATATATATATATATATATATATATATATATATATATAGAGAGAGAGAGAGAGAGAGAGAGAGAGAGAGAGAGAGAGAAAGAGAGAGAGAGAGAGAGAGAGAGAGAGAGAGAGAGAGAGAGAGAGAGAGAGAACTAGAGAGAGAGAGAGAGAGAGCTAGAGAGAGAGAGAGAGAGAGAGAGAGAGAGAGAGAGAGAGAGAGAGAGAGAGAGAGAGTAGAAGAATGGCTTAACCTGTACAACTAAACTAGTGTTTCTTCTTTAAGTAATGTACAGTTGGCTCTTATTATGAGCACACTTATTAATGTGAATGCACTATCTATTTTTCGAAATCATGATCAATTGGTTCGTATAAGATATATAGATATACTAGATATAAACATACTATATATAGATATACTAGATATAGATACTATATATAGATATAATAGATATAGATACTATATATAGATATACTAGATATAAAAATACTAGATACAGATATACTAAAAATAAAAATACTATATACTCGTAAAGGAAGGTAGATGGAAAGAAAAAAATAAATTAGAGAGAGAGAGGAGAGACAAGAGTGCGGGTAAATGGAAAGAGACAGAAAAAGAAAAATATGATACAAGGGAAAGGAAATTGTAATAAACAAAGTGTCGGTAATG